CACACACACACACACACACACACACACACACACACTTGTACACCTCTTCCATGTAACGGTGACAGCACGCCGACACGTCGTCCTGTTTCCTCCCCGTCTGTGTGCAGAGCGAGAACACGCGTGTTGTCATGTACATCCACACGTATTAAAGCTGAATTTGTTTGGTTTCGTTCCTCTTTTTTTTTCTCTCTCCATCCAGGTCTGACACGACCACGTAAAGAGATGATGATAATACGAAAGACGTGCTGCAGATTGTCAAGTCAGGTGAGGAAAAAAAAAAAATACAACAAAACAAGTTGATTCCGAGCAAGCGGTGGCAATAATTTCACCATTGTTGGGAATGCATTTGATAAATAGCTGTGTAGGTTTTCTTTTTCACACTGTGTGAGGAATAATCTGCATGTCATAATGTTTTATTGTTTTTCACTTTTGTACTATTTGATTATTTTTTTAACCTTTTGAGCTTCTTCTTGTAAAACCCAACTAACAGTTTAAGAAGGAAAATAAAGCCAACTTTGAGTCTTGATGTTTGTGCTTTCACGTTTTGTTGGAATCTTTGAACACGCCGTCGTGCCTTACTTTGATGGTCAAACGCAAAAAGAAAAAAAAAATAGTCTTTAAAAAAAGTAAACAACAACAAATCGCTCCAAACACAGTGACTCCACGCTCCTTTTCTTGTTTTGCTCCTCTTTATCTTTTCCATCTTTGCAACTATTTTGCTTCTTTTCATTCACTAATTGTCGACATCATTTGGATCACATGACCCACTTTTATGAGTCTTAATAAAACCAAAGGAAATTAAGAAAGCAAATTTATTTTACAGGAAAACGACAGCAGTTGAGTTTCTTTTGTTTGCAGCTATGCTAGGTAATTAAAACAYCATTTAGTGCAAGTGAAAAACACTTTTTACATATCACCACATTTATTTACCCAGATKAAAACATTTTGAGATCGGTGTTTGTTTTCCAATAGTGACCTGACCAAAGGTCACAAGGAGAGGTCACATTTAAAACATACAATACAAAATGACAATCTAATTCAACACAGCAACCTAGAAAGCACTTTTAGGCTCAGCACTATCAATTAATTCAATTTAGTTACGTCAAAGCTTTTATTTTGACTTAAACGTGTTGATAAAATTCAATATTTAAAGCCCATTGCTTAATACAATAAATAATTCATCTAGTGTTTCATGTTGGCCTACGGCTAATTACCTGAGCGTTTTGTTTAGGCTAAATCTCTGATGTTGAACACTTTAGGCTGTTCTGTTCTGACATAAAGAAACAATTAATAACCCACCAGATTTGTTGCAATATTTCAGGCTTGAGGCCAAACCTAAAATCTGCTCTGAGAGCTGAAAAAATTTCCTTCCACTTGGTCATTCAAATAAATTAACATTAGAGAAGATGAAAGTTTTTATACATCAAGATAAAACAGTTTTTTTAATAATCTTGGGTAATATTAATCAATGATGGGTCCTTTTCTGCTACCATTCATAGACAAGCTCCTTTTTTAAACCAACTCTAAAAAACATAGAGAATCAAAGCCATATGCTGCAGCTGGATTTATTTTATTAATGTTTGTTTGACAATGAAAAAGTGTTTTAGTGTAATAACAAATCTTTTCCATGTTTTACTCATTTTTTTTGTCTGTTGATGAAATATGCAATAAAATGTGAACCAATAAAACTCAGTAATGCACAATTTGAAACAGATAGAACACTATAAACTACAAGTTGATACAATGCAATAAAATACCACACCAATAAAATACAATAGCATGCTGTACTGTATATACATGAAGCTATTAAAACACTTTGATAATATATATAATGCAACACAATACCATAAAGTATGATATTGTCTGATGTGACACGATTTAATACTGCTGATACTTTTATTTTGAAACACTTGTTAGATACTATATGATGTTACGATAAAAGTACAGTACAAATCAATTTAATACAATATGCTAGAATGATTATATTACAAGATACATTTGTAACAGTATGATCTTTTGACCTTATGAGGAAATTAGTTWTACTCTCACTGTCTAAAATAGTTTTTCTGATTTAGTTAGAGATTATAGTTTGAACTAAATTATCCTAAAACATGCTGATAGAAATCAAGTATTTTTTGCCTACATTTTAATATTATAAATAATTGATCCAGTGTTTCACATGTTGGCCCGTGGCTAATTACCTGAGCGTTTTGCCGAGCTAAACCTCAGATCTCGACTACTTCAGGTCATTCCGGCCGACGCATACGATTAGTGCAGCTCAGATTCGTTGTCAGAGGTCTGAAATGTTTATTGCTAAAATGAAAAACCTTTTCTTGGAGAGCCGAAACCGAGTGTTTTCTTCATTCCTCCTATCTGCACCATTCAAATAAGTTAACATTTGGAGGTTTGATAGCTCCTCRTGCATTTTATGATAAGACCTCTCTTCATAATCTTGAGTAATCTATCAATGATGGATGCTATCAGATTCCAGACACTCATCGACAGGCTGAATATAAAAATATATAGTGAGAAATTAATAAAGAAAAGGCTCTAACTTTGACATGAGCTCTATCTGCACATCTGCAAGATAAAGACCGCATAATTAAAATGCCATAGAGAGCAGTGGAGAAAGAAGAGCTTTTTTTTCGTAATATTTTATAGAGATTTACTTTTCCACCACTTGTTTAATGTGACTTAAGGATGATATGTTGCCACAGTTTTGACAATGCAATTAAAGGTTTGTAATCCCAACCTAAGGTTTCATTCTTGATTTTGTCAGTTTGGATGAAGAATGTGATGAAACGCCGCACCGCGGTGACAGATGCGAGTTTATTAAAGGGATTCCAGTCTGCGAGGGATTGGAGGTGTTATTCCTCAAAGACGAGGGGGGAAAAAAAACAGCGAGAACCAAATTTTAGCTTGCTTTCCCCTGCAAGAGTTGTTCAGCAGAAAGATACAAAATATCTACACATTCCTTATATATCTTTCTTCTTCTACACACGAGCTGCGCCACGTAGCACMCGGGGCCAAACTTTATTGTGACAAATTCCCTGCTTCCTGGAACAAGCTTGCTTAAAAATCCAGCTGCGTTTGAGCAAAGTGACATATTCCCATTTCAAAATACCAGCATCGTTGACACACACATACACCACCCCCCCAACACACACACACACACACACACAC